TGCGCACCCAGGGCCGGCGCCCCCTCCCCCCCAAGCGCCGCGCACCTGGGGCCAGCGCCCCCCCAGTGCCCGGGGCTGGCGCTCACCATGCGCCTGGAGCCAGCTCCGGCACTGTGCATGCGCCACGTGCCCAGGGCCAGGCCAGCCCCGAGCACGTGGCGGGCGCACACGAATGCCCCCGCAGGCGCCATGGTGCCCGCGGGCACCGTGTTGGGGACCACGGCCCTAGGGGTTAATGGATTGGAAGGGTAGGAATGGAATGGCAAGCAACTTTCAGTTGGATGCTCTATTTCCTTTAGTTTGGCTTCTTTTGTACAAACCTCCCCCTTCCAAGTGTGTGCTGCTTTGGCCTCTTAAACACCATGGCCTCATGTAGTGCTGTAAAAACCCCCATGATGCCTTGTTAGCAGACAACAATATTAATTTCCTAGATACAATAATTGTGACAGTTGCTGAAGATTGCACTGGTTTCTAGGGGAGGGTGGGTCGGTGACTTTTGTGCAGTCCACAGAGAGGGTGTGAACACTTTACAGCTAATGATGGTCCAGATGAAGGCCCCACCCCTGCATATGTTGCACCTAGTCAGACTGCTGTGCCCCTGCAGACCTTGTTGAAGCCAGTCAGAAAAGCAATTCATCCATGTGCTTCACATTGCTGATTGGGGTTCACAGGCTCTGTTGTGCACCTGTGCTGGGGAGGCAGTGTGACTGTGCCCGAAATAGCAGTGGTCTTTGGCACTTCCTAGGAATGCAGCCACTTCATCACCCATGAAGAGAGCTCAGTGTCTGTCCCTTCTTGTGCTTTCCTAGTGCTGCTGGTCAGTGAGTGTGTGTGTGTTTTGAAGTACAAAGCCACTGTGAACTGTCTGCAGCAGTAGTTCTGTGTAGTTGTTGAGATCAGGAGCGTGGAAGGACCATACTTTGGCCAGTTGCTGCCTGTGTGCACAAAGGAGAGCTCTTGTATGCCATCTTCCCTCTTCGCCTTCCAGTCCATGTGGGGCTGAGTGTAAACTTGCCCTCACATTAGATGAAAAAATTCTCAAGCCAGGGGGAGCAAATAACCTGATTATTGCAGAGACCGGGGTGATTGAAAGCATAAAACCAGTTCTGTTTTGTGTACTCCCTGAGCTACGGAGCAAAACATTAACAGTTAAATGGTAAGTCTGAGTGTCACCATTGACCCGCTCTGACGGTTAACCCCCTGCATGCAGGTCTCAGAATGGTTCTCCTGCAGCAGAGATGCCATTTTGGGCTGCTGGCAAGAGGTGACTATGGGAACCAGGAAGGGCAGGCATCACAAGGGGTCACTGGGAGACCAGCCCCCTCTTAAAGGAGTTTGGAGCTGTAGTAAGCACCTCTGCCACACTTCAACCCCTGCCCCAGTCCACGGGGTCCCTCCTGCACCAAAACTCCCTCCTGGAGCCTGCACCCGCCCCCAAGCCGCCTCCTGCATCTCAAATCCTTCTTCCCTGGTGCCACCCAAGAACCTAAACTTCCAAGTGGAGCTTTCACCCTCTCTGCACCCAACTTCTCTTCCCCAACCTGGAGCCCCCTCCCACACCTCAAACCCCTCATTTCTGAGCCCATCTGGAACCCACTGCTCCACCCCAGAACCTGGACACCTCTGCACCCCACCCTCTGCTCCAGCTTGGTGAAAGTGAGTGAGAGTGGGGAAGTATGAACAACAGAGGAAGGGAGGAGCATGGAGCGAGTGGGGTCAGGGTCTCAGAGAATGAACAACAGAGGAAGGGAGGAACATGGAGCGAGTGGGGTCAGGGTCTCAGAGAAGGGGCAGGGCAGGGGTGGGACATGGGGCAAGTCAAGGGTGTTTGGTTTTGTACCATTAGAAAGCTGGCAACCCTAGCAACCTTAGTCCTTCCCCATCTGTCTAGGGCAAAGGGGGAGGGGAGACACGCCATCCTAGGAACAAAGGTCCTGCCTGACCTGGAGAGAGGGAGGCCTGCACATGAGACCTGAACCAGTTCACAAATGTCATTTGAATAGTTTACATGGTTGTCGTTTAAAGTGACATTGACATGCCTAGTCATAGGGACTGTGGAGCTCTGGTACGGTGAGCCCATGCCATGTTTCCTGTGAAGCCGAGATACTGCAACGTGACAAATGTGACCAGCTCAGTCACAGAACTCAGACAAGCTTCTCCCACTGAAAAATGGCTTGCTGTGGTCGTAAAGCTCCTGCCTGCCCTGCGCTCTGCTGGCATTTCTGTACACAAACGCTGCATGTTGATATTCTGCACCTTAATGCAGCGTGTTCCATTGTCTAGAGCCTGCTGCAAGTCTTTGCTGAAATTGTTTATTTTTAATTCATTTATTCTTCCTCTAATTTACCAGAAAAATGAAACAAAACATCCTTTCCTATAGGTTCCTGGACATTCAGGATATTGCTTGTCTACATGTAACAATGCACGATGCATTCTTGTTACAGACCAAGACCACAACAGCTTCACAGAATAGTGTCTTTAAAGCCATTATTATGCAGAAGCTCAGTGGTCTGCAAGTGGAGGGAGGTCGTCACGCCCATTCAGAGAAAGATGTTGGCTGAACAGTCCTCACTGGAACTCAAGCATTTCTGTTTGTACATTTCCTTTCCAAGGAGCCAGCATAGAAGGGGTTTTGTGCCTTGGTTAGTCTGAGTCCTGCTAGGGGAGCACCACTGTGGTAAGGCCTCTGAAAGTGAGATAGATGAATAGTCAAGGAGCAGGCATAATGCCATGGATTGTTGAAGGGAATGTGCTCTACTGGCAGGTTAGATTGCTCTGAAGCTAGGCCACTGCTCAAAAGATGGGAAGGGAGCAGGCCAGTGCCCTGTCTAGTCCTCCTGGGACTTGAATGCTGTGGACTATATGAGATGGTCTCCTGCTTTCCAGCACTCCTGGAGCACTGGCGACAAAATGATGTTTCTTCTTCAAGTGGTTGTTCATGTCCATTCGAAGTAGGTGTGCGCGTCGCGTGCACCGCGTCTTCCGGAGCGTTTTCCCTAGCGTTACCCATAGCGCCGGCGGGGCGCCCCCTGGAGTGGCGCCGCCATGGCGGGGCATGAGTACCCCTGCCAGCGCTGCCCCACCTCAGTTCCTTCTTACCGCCGTGTCGGTCGTTGGAGCAGCTCTCTCTCTAGCTGTTAGGCTTAGATAGTTAATGGTTCCCGTTTCTCACATTGTAAATAGTTTGTGTAGTTAGATAGTTAGGTTTTTTGTTTTTGTTCCTTCCCCCTTGGGGATAAGGAATGCCAGGGCCGCAAGGCTTCAAGGGGTGCGCTAACTGCGGGAAGTTTATGCCCAGGGGTGACCCACACGACAGCTGCCTTAAATGTCTGGGTGAGGCTCATTTGGCAATTGCCTGCAAAATCTGCAAGTCTTTCAAGCCCGGTACAAGGAAAGAAAGAGTTTCCCACTTGAAGCTTCTCCTCATGGAGACGGTGCTTCAACCGGTACCGCCGGACCAGCCTGCGGTGCACAGCGCACCAGCTTCCACGTGCGAGGCCGCACACCGGCACCGGGCATCGATGTCAAGATCCCAGAACCGATCTCACTCTCCACCATCTAAGAGGGTGAAGAAGTCCCGGGGCAGGTCT